TGACACAAATAATGTTTCTAAGGCCGAAATGAATAGAAAACGAACTAAGGTTAAATATTAAGGTTATAATAAGATAAAAAATTATAATTCATTAGGAACTAAAAGGAATATGAAAACCCAAATCTTTTACTAAAATATTTACATAAAAACAGAAATGAAACTTAAACATATTTTGCAAATGAAATGAATTATTACTAATAAATAATATTTAAATATAATCAAATAAAAACTCAAATATTGATATTAATCGAAAAATAAAAATATTTCTTGTCTCTTTTTGTTGTTAATATGCAATGAAAGATGAAATGTTACCGGTGCCGATTTTACCATGCTTCCAAGTCTATTAAAAGTGTCATAAATAAATGACCAATAAAATAAAACATAAATTAAATTACAATCACAAATTTACAGTTTTAGTACAAGTTCATTTGAGCTTTAAATCACAAACCAATATTATTACGTTAAGGCACTGTTTGGCAGGGATGCCACCTCTATTTTTAAAGCATTTTTTTAATATTTCAGGTACATTGGCAACCCTGCTCATAAAAATGAAATAACATGCGGCGGAAATCCTTCAAAAATTTCAAAATTTCAGATTTTATGAATCTATCAGACTAATATCCACCGATTTTTATCAGATTGGGTAGGATATGTATAATTCACTTTAGGTAATACAAGCATATAATATAATTTATACATTTAAAGCAATAAGCTAATTATTTATGCTCTTCTTGAGTCCCCACGATAACGCAAAGGAATAAAAAAGAACTGAACTGTTCATCAATATATGAAGGAACACATTTCATATAGATTTTTTCCCTTATAGGCTGAATAATTATATTCATAAGAATAACTTATTAATAATTTAATAAAAGGGTACACAAGTAACCTATTTTAATGAAAAATTGTTACTCGGAAATAAAACTTTCATCACCAGAAGTGATTAAGCAAATAGATCAATAGATCAATTTCTTAATTATAATGAAAATTTACTTTTAATTAGTTGAACAAAAAAGCTTTCAACTTACAAACTGGATTTCATTGTTCAACAGTAGTATTTAAAAAATATATTAAAAATTCAACGATGTCAAAACAAAAACTCAAAAAGCATGATAAACTAGTTAACATAGTTTACATGAAAATATGTTATTTTTAATTTTTGCCAATTTGGAAGTAAAAACTTTCGGTTTTATAATCTTTTTTGAATCCGTCATGAATTTTTCTGTATCGATTGCACTTTTGGCTGTATTAATGTTTAGGCGGAGAGATTTACTTTTTATTTCGATCCAATCGCATTTACACACGAGCCTTGAATTGCTATTCAAAGCAAAGAAAAAAACACAACTTTTTTTAGATTGAAAGAGTTTTTTTCATGGATACAACCAGAAAAAGATTGAACATTTACATTTCTATAAGATTCATCCGAAACCGCGTTAATGAACCGTTGCTGTCAAGAAAGAAATGATAGAGGTAAACAAATACTGAACTTCCACTTTGAAAACAAGCTATACCAAATAAAAAGCTTCTTTCAAAACAAAAAACACAGAAGATGGACATTCTTGAGTCTGGTCAGTCAGATGGTGAGCCAGATGGAAGAACTGGTCTTTTCCTCCGCACAGATTTTCATAGCGAACTTAGAATATTTCAGTAAAAAAGGAATGGTTTTAATGATAAAAAATATTCCAAGAGATGGAAAACTAACTATACAAGAATTCGAAAATTATATCGGAAATAAAGTGGAAAGCACAACATCAACTACATACATTAATATACAGCAACCAAACAATAATAAATATATTCTGACAGGATCAAACGACATATTTCTCCACAAACACAAGGGATGAGAAAATAAGCCCATACATATATGAACAATAAAATAGGCGGTAGATGAAAGGAGACATGAACGCAAGCAAAGAATCTGTCAGAGAAATATATAGCTAGGTAGCAAAGGTAATGAGATATAAAGAATTATAAGACTGAAACAAAACAAACGACAGCAGAAAATAAGATCATGAAGATTTAAAAAAGCTTCCAAAATAGAAAAACTTAAAACGGAGTAGGCAAAATAACTACTAATAAAGAGAAAACACCAGCAATAACACTCGAATTCAAGCAATGACAGGGATATTGAACCAAGGATTAGAAAAAATGTCAGATATAACAACTGAAATACGGACTGTATTAAGAAATGGCAAATCCAGATTTAAAAATACGAATATCGATAAAAAACTCTAGGATAATTTGATCAACTTTAATAAACGAGAAATTAAAACAAGTCACCAAAATGATGACAGGACATTGTCGTTTAAGAAAACACCTATACAAAATATGGAAGGTCCATGCTGAAGAAAATGCAAAATGGAAAAAGACACTGACATTACAATAGTCAACTGAGGATTGAACCAGTACTGAGAACTACCAATAAAGAAGCTGTTGGCGTTCTTTGAGACCACAGGACGTATTGGAGTTTAATTAAAAAAAAACAGGGTATGGTACAAATATCTTATGGCCAAATGCCAGAGATTAACCTGTCTGTCTGAGCTAAGAAGAACTGCATTCAAGAAAATCAAACGCAGCCAAACTCAAGGTGAAGACAGAAGAGTGATAAAATGAATAACAGGCCAAAATAATCTAAAAAACCAAATTACTTTTCAATTTATGCCTGAATAAGAATTAGATTCCAACAGAAAGGAACAACTGCGTAATGACTTGGCTTTATAAAAGGGAAGATTTGAGAAAATTGCAGATCAGAAAAATGGTGAAATACAATAGGTCCCTTGCTCTTTATTGATTTTCGCGAAGCTTTCGACTCAATTAAATTACATAAAACACTAGAATCAGAAATAGATTATAAAATATAAGAAATAACAACACACAAGAATTAAATGCAAAAACTAAAACATAGCCGAGAAAATAAAAATGGAAAGGGTAGTAAGCCAGTTGGATACAATGTCACCTAAACTGTGCAACATAGTACCAAAGCATGAACATGAAGTAAATCTAACAATAGGTATAAGATATGCATACAGCAAACTGGGAGCAAATTTTAAAAGTGAACCTAGTACAAATCTGATGATGAAAGTGATCAATTCCTTTTTGTCGGTGTATACATTTAGACACGTCTCCAGCTACCAAATTATTAGTGAGAAAAAATGGAACGATCTGTGCTTGGAATGACTTTCCAGACAAAATTAAAAATTAATCAAAATCGTCAGCATACATTTTATCCTATTGTATGCTAACGATACTGCACTTCTTATCTCAGGTTCTGTTGACAGGACTCTGAAGAAACAGTCTGTGTTCAAAATAAAGTCCAAAATTAATTGGACAAAATTGTAAAGTGGTGTAACAAATAGAGAGTTACATTTAACACGGACTATCCTATTGAGATATCCTAGAAAACTACATATGAAGAGAAAGGTAACCAAATAATGCTTTATCCTATGTAGAAAGACTTAAACTCAGAAACTAGATGTCCTATTTGGTAATTCAATTTCCGACAAATCACAACTGGGACACTGACATCAAAAACACCCTAAATTCGCTAAGAAACAGAGCTAACCTCCTAGGAGCACTATGTAACAAATTTGGAAATATCCAAAAACTCTCCTGCATACTTACAAGATATACATAAGACCGATTATTAAATACAGAGCGATCCTCTATGTGCTTCTAAACAAACGCCAAATTAATACCATCATGGCAACCGAAAGAAAAATCCTTAGAAGAATAATGAGAAGTCATACAGATTATCTGTTGGCACTTATCCATCCAGTTGCTAATATCACCACAATAGAGGGCAAAATCAGTTCTCTCAGCAAAAAATATGTACAGCATACGATAGCGCAGATAGATAGCACAAATACCGGAGTATGAAATCCTAAAAACTTACCATCTCCTAGAGCACATACTCACCAAGCGCCCCAATACAAAAGTTCTATTCTTTCCAGCCAAATTTCTCGACTTGGTTGGAAACAAACTTCTTGATGAGTTCCAGGACGCCCTAGAAACTACCCCACTAAGCCAGATAATAAAAGCTGCAACTCAAACATGCTGATCCAAAAGCTGTTCCCAAAGTATAGCTGGTAACAAACTAGGTATCTTCCTCACTACAAAATTGCTAAACAAAACATCCTCACATATCCAATCGAACCACCATCTATCTGAGGTTCCTCTATGGTAGTAGTCTACTACCCCCATTTGCAACTGACATTGCTCTTTCCCACTCTAAGCTCCCGCAAAAAGGGAGCAGCCCTACCATTGAAGAGGCGTGCCGCCTAAAGGAGGCCTTTAGGTCCAGAAATAAAAAAAGGAAGTAGAAGGAACAAGCGGCGAGGAAAAAACATGATCAAAATGTGATGCGAGTGACGACTGTGTGAGGACAAGAGAAGTTTCGGACAACTCCCCACACAACGGAAGAATAACTGGAACAAGGTTAACAAAAACCACGTAACCGATTAAGTTTCGCACAAAGGTTATCGTAATCAATATTCTTAAAAGAAATTTTACTTTTTTCACGTTCAACTATCCAAAAATCAAATAAGACTAAAATATATTTCATTTAAATCCCAAATAAGGCTATTAGTTATTTAGATTAGCTGCATTAGCCCATAAAAAAGCAAGGTTGTGTGCAATGATCATTATTGCATCCCTTATATCATCCTCTCTCATCTTATTGCAAATAGTTTAACTTATGTGATAAATTCACTTATAAGTAAAATAACGTAATGTGTCTACGTATTTCTTGAAACAGACGGTTTGTTAACAAATGAATTCGTAATTGCAAGTCGTTAGAAGGGAAAGAAAGAACATTAAATATATTCAGCGTTCAACTTATTTTTTTTGTCATTTGTAAGTTTACATAATAATAAATTATTGTATAAATTATCGTCAATTCAGAAAAAAAAAAGATTTTTGTAGGATAACCGCTTAAAAAACATTTACTTACGTCATTCAAAGCTCAAATTGTTAAAACCTATTTAACTACTAAAAATCAAACGCTAGTCTGACTGATTAATCTCTATTAAATCTGGACTACTATCTATTTCCACTACAGGAATATTTTTTTTATTACACTTAACAATACCATCTAAAATTTCATCAAAGCTTAAAACAGCTTTGTCTTCTTGTTGCATTATCAGTTTCGCGTCTGACGCTTCTGGTGATGAGATAGATATGTCTTCGCTGTCACTCAAGACATCAGCTTCGCAGGACAATTTTTGTAATTCATACATACATACATAGTTTTGTGGGTCATCCGCTTCGTCACTTTGTGTTCGGCTACACTCTGGACTGTTTTTAGGAGATGGTGATTTTTTGTCTTTTTTCTTTTTTACATATGTTTTTTCTACCTTCAGACCCATCTGTTCCAGTCTTATTATTGCTGATTTTTCGAAATACTCCATATTCACTACATGGGTTTGAAGTGAATGGTTTTCATCTTTCACCAAAGACTTTACCTGAAATATAAACGATATAAGGACCATAATAAATTATATAGAATATTAAAAAATCGTTAAGAATTGACAGTCCTCTAAAGTTATTGAGCGATTAATAAATGCCGAAACATGATAGAAAAATCCAAATCTTCACCTACACGTGGTTAAAAGACGGGCAATATTCAATTGGATGAGCAACGCAGATAGGAACTGAATGATTGTCGGTATAAACAATCTTCCGCTTCAAAATTTGATATTATCTTATCTTAGATATTTATCAAGGCGATTACCATCTCCAGAGAAGCTATTACTAATCGGGGACTTCGGAAACCAGATTCGGCAGGGAAGATACAACTTACTTAAAGCACGGGGACTCTCAGACCGTTAGGAGGCGAAATCTTCGTGTAGAAAAGCTTTTAAGATTAAACAAGAAAAGCCAAAGACGATTCGCAACCAGCAACGTCAAGAGTTATATCAGGCAGGAATGAATGATCCTAGCTAGACAACCTGATCCAAGAAATGATGAACGTAATGATGTATTAAGTTAAAAATAGCGACTCCTTTCATCGATATGCAATCGCATTTTTATATGACACAAAAGCAGATATATAGGTGATTAACTTTAATTCGTACTCAAAGAATGATAATGGTTCAATTAAAGATGAATATACAGTAGAACGTCTTTAAGTCGAACCTCGATTAGTCAAACATTCAAAACTTGAAAAAATGTCTTGTTCCCCTCACTTCTAGCCACAAAACTTCAATTACTCGAAATAATCAGTGAGTTCCCCACAAGCCATTTTGGTACATAATAACTCAAAAAATTAAATTAAACCTCTGTATCTCGAACATGGCGATGTTTTATTTTATAACCTTTACAGCTCAATTATTTGCAAGTTTTTACCTCTAAAGTTCGAAGAAAAATAAGTTACCAATTTTAAGAATTTGTCGACAATGTAAATACACTATTGTTTCTTGAAAAACAATTTAAGAGTATATATTAATAGTATTACCACTTAAGAAATTCATGACTCATGTTAACGCGTGCTTGCTTGCTTGGTGTCATGTGTTCAATTTTATTATTTTTGATGTGAACTTTAGCAAAGCAAGTCATTTGTTGTTCTACCGCAATACACATTAATTTATACAACAGTTCACAAGTAAAATTGTTAAAAATTCGAGTGCTGTGAAACGTTAACTGAAAACTTTGAGTCTCGCTGAAAAGTTAAAAGTGTTCGAAGCTGTAAAGAGCTGTCAAAAGAACAAAAATGTTGCTAATATGTTACTCTGTCAACAATAATAAAAAATGAATCAGATATCATGAAAAAATTCAAAAACTCACAATTAGTCATCGGTAAATCTAAAAAACTCCGTTTTTTTTCTTAATCACTGCCTTTTAAATATGAAGCAGATACAAAACATGGATGACTTCTGCGATTGTCAAAAACTGGCTTATAAATATTGAGAAAATGATAAAAAAAATCGTGTTATTTGTTGATAATGGAGTTATGACTGCTGTAACATTATCTGATGAAAAAATTATCGATTCAGTAGCTCAGAAAACCGATACTAATTAAATTAGATGTCATAGAAGACTTGAATAATACTACATGCACTCCATGGGTTTCCATCGTAAAGGCAAGAACAGCATTAAATACTTAACGGAATTTTATAGAGCAAACCAGCAACTCTGAAGAACACGAATTTTCAGCTGTTTATACCTTAGACAATGCTATAAATAGAAAACAATCGAATTATCCAATATTGTTATGAAGCTATTTTCTTATGACACCTTAATGCAATCACTATTTTTATTTGGAATAAGCCACAATTTAAGTTTAAAATAAGTTTATCTTTGTATATTAGTAAGTCAGTAACATATCGAGGATACATCATTTATGTTTTTTAAATAACATATACATAAAACTAGAGTTTGCTGTTTATTGAAAGTAAACCAAATGTAAGACCAAATACTTATCATGTCGGAATAGTATTATGAGGTTTTTTTTCCTGGTTTTATCCTCATGATTTACTATTGAATCACTAACAGGAGAATTTTACTGTCATCATTGCATGTGGTTGTTTTTTAAAGACGAATCACATGCTATATATTTCATGTCATCAAATGAACTATCTTCCAATAAAGTCGTTCCAAGAACGCAATTCAGCAATATTGGCAATATCATTTTAAAGTCGTCTACTTTAAAATTTATAATATATATAAGGCAGACAACATTAGATTATTAGAATTTTTCACCAAGTAGCAAAAAACTAAATTTGTTTAATTTATTAATGTTTTGTATTTTGACAACGATTTCCGAAGTGGAAATTGAAACGTCAAAATAAATTTATGTTACACTTAAATTATGGCTTATTCCAAAGAATAATAATAATTGAATTAGCTAAAGCAAAAATACAGACTTTTTTAATGACATATTTTTTTTTATTTTAAGGATATTACTCACTCAAATATCATCTCTCTAAAACGGGCAAAACGTACATAGATTTTGCGAAGATGCAGAGAAAACTGCCGAACATATGGTCTGCAACTACAAGATAATTGTTCTGTAACACTATATACATCTGGAGCAGGTCTTTTTAGAAATTGATCGGGTAATAAACATATTTCCGAGATCTACAGTAGGTCTCAGAAACCTAGATCTTTTGGATAAATGTCGTGTATACACAAAAGATTTTGAGGGCCCAGCATGGAAAAGATTACATACATGATATAGAGGTGTGTACTATGAATGAATAAACTTTGGCATTTGAGATGTGTACGTTTCAAATGAATTTGAAAATCTGGAAAGATAAAGGAGCTAATCAGGAAGTACTTCAAAGAGTACTTCATTTTGTACATGCTTTTCATGGAATGAATGTCTGAGCAAGCGCAGGATTGGGAAGAGAAGGATGTCTTAAGTAAAGAAACCTAAGACAATTGTCAACTTGAAATTCTACATAACTGAGGTTCTATGTTCTGGGCAGCAGCCACTACATTGATTTATCCATTTATAACAGATCATGAATAAAGCAAATTATACTTTAAATAGTTCGAAATAACATAAACCAAAATCTTGACATAGCAAATAGTGGCAATAGCCCTTTTAAAAATAATAATAAAAAATAATTTGACTTAGTATGTAAATAAAATAAATTGGATTAATAAGAAAGGCTACTAAATTAGGAATACAATAATATAACTACAATTTTGAGTACCTGTTACACTTAATGGATAACCACATGGCATTTAACACTATAAACACAAAAGATGTGGATATAAGAAGCTTTCAGTGATTGTATAGTAACTCCTGCGTAATAATTACTTTATAAAGTATGTAAATGTCAACATTACACTTATTTAAAAGTACATACAGTAATTGTAATCTTTCAAGTTTCGTTTGGATGAGCATATAAATAAATAAAAAGATGTAGATTTCTTACCTTATGTCTTATGCTCTCCAATGATGTGCTGGTCTGATCGTCTATAGGAGAGTCCTTGCAGCTTTGTAGTTTTGGATCTGGACTATCGCGAATTATGTGATAGAATACAGCCATATATTCAGCGCATGGTTGCAACTGATACCAAGATAATCCTGATGTAGTTAAAGCAACAGTTTTGCCATACATAAAATACATAGCAGCTGCTGCTATGGTACTGTAACTAAACTTTAGGAAACCTGGATCCAAACTTAACATATCTATTAATTGTGACGCTCTGGTAAACTGATATCCTGAGTATTGAGGAAAGAAGAAAGCTCTGTTTACATCAATGTGCAGTTTTTGTCTCGTTACATTACCAACCTGGAAATGTATCTGCATATAAAGATTTAACCAATCGCTCGGTGTCATAATATTCAAGTCCCAACCTAAACTATTCAGAATTAACAATTCACAGGCTAAAATTTCATCTGGGCTACACGCCCCGTCACAGACATAAGAAAATTCTGATAATCTCGGTGGATATACTTCTTCTAACTTTGAAGCTAAAAATAGACACGTTACGCCAACTAATTGTAATTGATTTTTTGGTACGTCTGGCCTTATGGATAAAAATCTATCAAAATAATCTACACAAAGATAATAGGTAACTCTACGTAAATGGTAGACTTCGCATACTTCCATAACCCAGTCTAACAATATGGCACGCATGCGAGGCATGAAGTTGGAGAAGTCTTCAAACAGGCAAGGATTGCGTAGATTTAAGGATGCTTCTTCCTTATATACCATATATAACCATACCTGGAATAAATAATTCTATAAAAATGTGCATGAGATTAAAAGCTGTAGAAATATATTTATCTTACTAAACTATCCAAAATAAAATAACCCGCCGAAAATAAAGCTAAACACCGTAAAGACAAAGGTGATGGTCGTCAGTAAAACGCCAATACAACCGGAAGTGGTAACAGCTTATGGTGAACAACTGGAGAGAACTAACAGTATCACTTACCTTGGTTGTAATCTAAATGAGAACTGGGACATGAGCAAAGAAATTAGAATACGGATAGATAAGGCCAGAGCTGCATTCTTTAAGGTGAAGAAACTGTTATGTGCAAACAATATTACTTAAAGTCTGAAAATTAGATTAGTGAGATGTTATGTGTTCTCTACTCTTTTGTATGGTATCGAAGGTTGGACTTTGATGGATACACTTCTCAAGAAACTGGAAGCCTTTAAAATCTGGGTGGATCAGAGAATCCTACGAGTACGTTGGGTGGATAGAGTTCGTAACGAAGTTGTTTTGTATCGGATGGGAAAAGCTACGGAAGTCGTCAAAACAGTTAAAAATCGCAAACTTGAATATTTTGGCCATGTTATGCGCCACCCGGAGAGATATAATATACTCCATTTAATAATACAAGACAAGGTTGACGGAAAAAGAGGGCCAGGTCGAAGAAGAACGTCATGGCTTAGAAACCTGGGAGATTGGTTTAACAGATCTTCTGCATCTCTTTTCCGAGCTGCCATCAACAAAATTACTATAGCCAATTTGATAGCCAAAGCTCGATAATCGAGCACGGCACATGAAGAAGATGAAGAAGCCGAAAATAAAAATATTTTTTTGATGACTCCGTTTTGATGACATTCTCCGGATTCTCTGAAAAATGCAACAATATTGTTATCCCTGACAAAAAATGGAAAATATTTCATTCTACTTAGAGAAACCATATTCTCTCATGACCAACCCCTAAATACCCCAGAACAGTAAAGACTACAAACAAGCAGACTGGAACCACTTCAAACACTTACTAACCAAACCCTTTCATACTCCACAGGTAGGTAATCTAGATTCCTAGATCTATATCGACAGAGGTGTCACGGTCCTTCAAGAACTGATAAATCTAGCAATTGATGATTCAGTCCCAACAAAGCAATAAACCTTGCAAGACTACCGCTCCCACCTCACCATCATAAACAAAATCATACATAAAGGGCACCCACGTCAATTGTAACATCCCCTCATCAATACAGAATAACTACATCTCGACCCAGATCAAGATGAGAGTTGAATACCATTAAAACCAATCAATGGCAAAGAGTGACCTCCAGCCTGGACTACAAAAACAGCTGTTCATTCTCATCAAAATTTAAAATCCTAAAAAAACAAAAAACATCCACCTTTCTCACTTAGTAGTGAGTAGCCAAATAATTAACTCAGACCACCAGAAACCTGAAGCCATCAAAAACACATCTTCAAAACATATTCACCAACCCAAGGTCCCATATTCGACCAAGACATCAGTGTAATCACTGAGAGAGAAAACAATAACTGCTCGAACCCCCTTTGAATCGACAGATACATAGTATATGTATAATCACTTCCGAAATATAAATGTCTCACTTAAACTCTGCTACTTTCCAAACCCTTGGAAGGTAGCCAACACAATTTTGCTCCCAAAAACGGGCAAACCCCAGACCAATCCTAACTCTTACAGACCGATTTCTCTTTTAAACGTTCTGGCAAGTTTTCAAGAGGATCCTCACGGGAAAACTCATAAACTTTGCCACAGAAAATAACATCATCCCTTAATTTCAATTCGGCTTTAGAGAAAGTCACCCAACCAGAACCACATTGACTGAAATCGTCACCATATCTTATAATTTATTCATTTCATATAAATTGAATGGTGTTTCTACAAAGGCCTAGGGAAAGGGTACAGAATCTTAATGCTAGTTTATAAATTTACTACTACTAATATAAGTGAACTACTATTAAACTATAAATAAAAGTGAAAATATTCAAACTTATAAAAAAGGCAGACAATAATGATGGCAATAAGTTTGTAGCACTTCAACCCTGAATTAGAAAAATAAAAGAATTTTATTTAGTACTTACTTCTTTAGAATCTGCCCAATCCATCAACGGCAATGGAGCTTTTCTAGTTTTCTGTGGTGAAACAAAGTCATTATTAGCTTTCGTGCTATTTTTCCTTTTTCCAGTTCTCCTCACACCCGTGCGTTTTCTACTATGTGGCGTTGTGTGATCTTTCTCAGTCATACTTTTACAACTGCTAGTACTAGCAGTGTCACTGTCTAAAATTGTTTGGAATTCTTCACATTTGTCACAGTCAGACTCCTTACTTTTATTTTTATCTCTTGCTAGAGTACTTTCCCTAGCTTCTTTACCGAATTGAAAACCCCATACTGTTTGCTTGTGGTGGATTCGTAGTAAATCTTGGAAGGATAGCTTCGATGTTTCTGCATATTCGCCTTCAGAAGTGTGTCCAACTGCATTTAGCTTTCCTGTATCATAGTCCTTAATGTTTTCCGTTGATTGCAACGACCGCTTTTCATCGGATCTAGACATCGTGATTTGTTAAACAGTATATGGGGTTACGGATAAAACTGAAAGATAAAAAAAAAAACATAAGAATCCTTCTGTTAAGCACTTAAAAATGATAGAACTTCTGATATAAATTGAAATATTAGATTGCGTATTATATTATTAGTATTATATAATATTATAATATTATTATTATAATTATATATTATTATATTATTATTATAATATATAATATTATATATAATATAATATATAATATATTATATAATATTATATTATTAGTATTATATATTATTTTATTAGTATTACATAGTATTAGATTGAATATTATATTGATATTGGTATGAAAAATATGTATGTATATTATAAATTGTGGTACCAATGTTCGGGACACCATTATAAATAAATATTATCTAAAAAGTCTCCCTGAATGCGCAAAATAAGTTATTCATGATCAAAAGTCACAAATATAGCTCTTTTTCATTTTCAGCCAACATGTAAATTTTATTATAAAAGTAGATTTGAAAAAAACACAAATATCCTTAGAAAATCAAGGAATATACGAGATTTCATTTGGGAAACTCTGACAAATCGTACATCGGACAGACCAATCTAAGAATCCATGTTAGATGAGTACATTGAAATACCATCGAAAGAAGTGAAAAAATGTACCTGAACTTAACGACGATGCTAGCTAATATTGAAATTAAAAGAAAACGTAAAATCAGAGAATCAATAGAAATTCAAAAAAAAGTCACAGTCTAAACCAAGGAGATGATGCTCTTCTTCTGGTGCACTCTATTACTGGAGGTTTGCGATCACTATTTCAAAATGTTCTATTCTGAGACACTCTTAGTAATTGTTGAATGTTCATGTCTGTCCAAGTTATGAGAGTGCGAATCCATGATATCGCTTTCTTGCCTACTCCGCTTCTGCCCTTTTCATTCTCTTTAATCATTTATTATAGCAGGTTATATTTGTCATTTCTCATTATCTGCCCTATACTACGTTCCACGTTTAGAAAATAACATTGCAAAGATAGGGCCATGTATTTCTTATGGACGATAGCAACGCGGCGTTGCCACGACACACACAAGCACAATTTAGGGTTGTATAATTTGTATTTTCGTTTCCACAAACATGAATTAAATTAATGTTTTTTAACGTAATTGACCAAAAGTGCCCATTGGAAACAAGAGATGAAAAGTAGGGAAAATGATTTTAATTAGATAAATAGTATTTACAAAAGATAATTTTATTTTATCTTATTTTAATTATAGTAACGAAAGTTTATTTGTTTTCGGTGAGAATACGATATGCCATGAATCATATAAATCAGTAGAAAATATTGACCGCTTGGAATGCGTATATCTAATTACTAATTGCAACTTAAAATAATACGATGTGCGTATGTCAGCTATTTTATGTCGTCTCTGACTACATAATGATAATAAGGCTTTTATTTAGTAGTTATTCTGACTTTACAGTTAAATATTAATTGAAAATGAAAATTCAAAAATTAAGCAAAGGGAATATCTTGGACATCCGTGCAAAAGAGAGTGTCTGAGAGTTTTGGCAACACTGATCTCCATAAGCGTAATGTTATTTTCTTAACGTGAAACAAAGAATAGGTCTTTTTCTTCTTAATCATTGTTTAATTTATAGTAATTATTACTGATCGATTCGTAATGTGTTGTGCCTATGATATTCTGAGCATTCTGTGATAAAGCCACATTTCAAAGACCTGTCTCAAGGTATTTAATTTTAATGTCTAGGCTTCAACTCCATACATAAGGACTCACCAAACGTAGCATTTACTAACACTAATTCGGATGTCTAAGCTTAGTTTTCAATTAAAGATAATTTGTTTGTATTTCTTGTACACGTTCTTAGTCTATTATATTCGTGTTTTTATTTCAATGCTTAAGATGATGCTCAAAGGCTTCCAATAACGTGGAAAACGGTATTGAAGAAGAAAACGGAAATAAATCTAGCAACAAGACAAGTATGACCCCACCTACCTACATGTACAGGACCAATCACAACTGCTGCCAAGAACTGTTCTGCTGACGAGAGAAATGTACCAAGATACTCTATATAAGTAATCGCTTCGACCGGGAGAGTCATTTTACTTTAAGTACTATCAAGAAGCGTTAGTACCTGACTATTGCAAGTACGACCTTGCCAAAGCAAAAGTGGTCAAAATTATGGTTTTTCTCCAAACTAAAATTATTCAAGTGGAATCAACTTCGATCAGGCATACTTCGGATTAAGGCAGCAAAGTCTGCTTGAGAGATTTGCTACCACTCGACACGAACTGTTTGCTTCAAATTATTGTTGTGTGAAACAAGCATTATCTTGCATCAGAAAAGTTCACCCAAGTGAATATATAATATTGCCCCAATAAATGGGGCAAATTGCACTACATGATCTTCCAAACATTGCTTAAATATACCGTTGAGCGTTAAAATTGCTCCCGTGAATTGTAACAAATTCTGTATGAGCCTCTACGGAAATGCCTGACCACACCATTATACCACCTCCACTAAATTGAATTCTCGGAGTAAAACAACATTGCTGATAACGTTCACCATCAATTCTCCATATCCTAGGCCGCTCATCTGATCAGTTTCTGTTAAATCTTGATTCATCTATGAAAAAACACAGCACTCCAATCGTCAACACCCCAATTAACAGGTTTGCGAGCGAAGTGTAAACGTTGCCTCCGATGATCTGCTGTTAGTAGAGGTCCTGTGACAGATATTCAATCCATATTCATTTAAGCGTCTTCGAACGGTATAAACAGAAACTGTGTTTCTTTGGACATATTTAATCGTTGAACAAGTACTGGTGCTGATAATGTACGATCGTGTAACGCTTGTAACCTAAGAAAGCGATCTTCAACTTGACTTGTGGTTCTTTGTCTATCTTAATCTGGACTCATGGTCTATTGCCTTAAACACTGGTTTGTATTGCATCAAACACTGTACTTCGAGAAATTTCTAAAGCATTTGCGATGTAACAAATGTTCCGCCCATCATCCTGTAAAGCAACAGCTTGTGCTACTTCTCCTGACGTCATAATCTTTTGATTGCGAGTTTTAAACAGGAGACAATAAAAAAACCTACAGCCGAACTTATAATCGGTAACACAATAAACTTAAATTAATACTAAGCCACTATTTCACATTAATAACAAAAAAAAAAAGTGTAAAAGTGTTGTTGTTCGCACAAAACATCTAAACAGGTTCAAACAAAAAAAAAACGTTATCGCTAATAAAACATAAAATATAATTCAAACAAACTAAACAAGTTTTGATCTAAACACCAACAAAAAAGAATAAATCTGAGTGTCCGGTTAATTTTGCACCCCAATGTATTTATATGTAGGGTGACCATAATTTTTCAACAAAAAAAAAGTACATTTATAATTTTTAAGAAAATATGTACACTGCTAGTGCCCTAGGAAATTTTTCTGATCAAAATTTTACGAATATTTAATGAAACAATTATAAGAACGATTTTTTTTAATCAAATATACGTACATAAAAAATGTATGATAAATTTTAATAATTTTCTTTCGACGTTTCTTCCTGAACACCTTGATCATCTTTTTGGTACCAGTTGTTCTTTTTGGAACTATGAATTTCATTCAGAAGTTGTGGTTTACTCTTTAAGAATTGAAACATTTCATTGCACGAAACTTTGAAGTTTGTGTAGACTTGCATGATGGTTTCCAGAGTAGATATTTTCAACTGCGATTTGTTGGGACTCCAATAGTTATTGATCTTTGAGAACAACCGCTCAATCGACGCACTGGTCCCAGGCAGACAAAAAACAAACTCACATATAATTTTGAGATTTTTCAAAGCACTCGTTTTGAAAGATTTCGAGCCATCGATCTTCGGTAGAAATATTTTTCGAATTCCAGTCTGCGATTTTATCTTCTGTAACGTAGGTTCGTATTAGACTAACTTCATCAAACAGTTCGTCCTGATTCAATATCGGACCTATGTAGTCTTTAAAAGCCTTACATGACGACAAAATTTCATCCCAAGAAACTTGTTTTTTCAAGTTAACCCATCCGAATAACTTTAGTTCACTTAAATTTTCACTCCAGTTTTTCAAATATATTACACAATTTGAATAGAACTGCTTGGCATACGTGATAAAGATATCCCCATAGTTTACACTAAGGTCAAGGTCTTCCATATTTTCAAGTTTTGAAAGTGACTCTCTTACTTTAAGCGTTAAAAATAACTCATTTAAGCGATTTTGAAGCTTATTTATGAGTTCGAAATACTTCAAAGTGGCTTCCGTTGCGCATATTTTGTCACCTTTTACATATAAAATGACTTTGTGGAAAAGAGACGCAATGTTATGCACAAACCACATCTATGCTTTACTGATTGGGATCTGAAAAAACTGTTTTATAACTGTTGGACAATTATCAATCGATAAAAAATATACTTTCAAGGGTTCGAACATTTGTATAATTCGTTCAATGGCTGGCATTAAGCTCAAAAATCTTGTTTTTGAAAACGACAACATTTTTTTGTACCCGATATCAACAAAATCGCAAAACTGCTTTAGTTTCTCCACTCTGACTGTAAAAATATAGAAATACTTAAAAATCTTGACCGCAAAAACCTCGATGTCTATGGGTAAGACGTCCGTTGCATTTTGTAAACAGTTATTAAAAATGTGTGCCACACAACCAATTCCAATCACGGGTTTACCACGAGAAGCATTTAATTTGCTGGATAGATTGTTCACTCATTTTCTTCTCATTCCACCAAAATTTGTATTTGTATTATCAGCAGACATTTCGATGCATTTTTGTAGTATATTATGGTAATTCAAAACATTGACCACGTAATCTTTTAACTGCTCTGATGTTTCACCAGGTAAGTCACGTAGCTGAAGTAATTTTACTTGGACACCATTTTCTCCATCAAAATATCTTACCATTAAGGGCACAACTTTAATTTCTCTATGATTCGACGAATCGATTGTGATGCTGAC